CCCTAGTCATTGTCCAGCTCTCTGATGCATAGCAAGTGATTGCAAAGACCATGGCATGTATCAGGTGCACCTTAGTTTCCAGACTGACATCCTTGCACTTCAGCACTTTAGAGAGGTCTCTAACCACAGACTTTCCCATCGCAGTATGTCTTTTAATTTCCTGGCTGCTGGTGCTAAGAGTGTTCACTGTGGATCCAAGCAAACCAAAACTGTGAACAATCTCAATCTCTTCACCATCCATTATGATGCTGCCAATTGGCCCAGTGGTGAGAATCTTTGTATTTTGATACTGAGTCTCAATCCATACTGAAGACTGCTGTCCCTGACCTTCCACAGCAAGTGCTTTAGGTCCTCCTCAGTTTCAGCAAGCAGGGTTGTGTCATCTGCATAACGCAGATTGTTGATGATTCTTCCTCCAATCCTGATGGCACACTTCTCCTCATAGAGCCCAGCCTCCCAGATAACCTATTCTGCATAAAGACTGAAAAGGTATGGAGACAGGATACATCCCTGGCATGCACCCTTCCCAATTTTGAACCATGCAGTATCTCCTTGCTCTGTTCTGATGACTGCCTCTTGGTCCAAGTATAGGTTTCTCATCAGCATGATCAAATGTTTTGGGATTTCCATTCTTCTCAGAGTCAGCCACAGTTTGTTATGATCCACAAAGAGACCCCTCCAAGTCAGTTTAAAGACTTAAGGTGCACTTGATTATGGCATAGTTTTTCCAATCACCTGCTATGCATCTGAGAGCTGGACCATGAATAAGGATGATAGAAGAATCAGTGCCTTTATGTTGTGTTGTTGGCTAAGAGTACTGAAAATCTCATGGACTACCAAAATGAAAATGTCTTGGAGAAGGTGCAAGCAGAGTGCTCCTTGAAGGCAAGAATGGCAAAGCTTCATCTCATATACTTGAGGCATGTTGTTAGGAAAGGCTATTCTTTGAAAAGGGACATCATGCTTGGAAAGGTGGAAGATCAGTGAAGGAGAGACCTTCAGCAAGACAGACGGACCCAAGGACTGTAGCAATGGGCTCAAGTATGTCAGGGATGGTGCAGGGTTCAAATCTGTTGTTCATAGGATCATTATGTATATACAATGGCACCAACAAAAACCCTAGGAGTGGAGTGGTGTGGTGTGGTGAGTCAACTGTTCAAAATGGCTTTCCTAGGCTATTCCCCTTGACTTTCACCACCTAGCTGAGTGGGTGCATGCAAATAGAGTGTGTTAGTCTAGATCCATAAGGGGAATGGCTAATTTGGCCATTCCATCAGATTTAAACTGAGCAGGTTCAGTAGAAGAAATGGGGAATCTCACTATCAGCACAGAAAAAATAAAGAATGCAGTATACATACTTCAGGGCCAGAGATTCATTCCTACATTAGTCACACCTACATGAAAGCAGCAGTAGCTGCAGTAGAGAACCCGTGCCCTTTCACAAGCTTGCCACAAGATAGAGCAGGGGTGGGGTGAGGAAAGGTCACTATAATTGCCAAGAAAGCTTTGTAATGCTGGCCTAGTATCACAGGGCTGAAAGTCCTGTAAGCACACTTAAGAAGGTGTCCTGATTAATAAACTGTATACTGTTGCCAACCTGAGTCATAACCTGTTAACATTCCAAATAAACCATAAACATGAGTATGATTAGAACAAGCAATAGGTATGATTAGTGCTGGAATTTGTCAAAGTAGGCGTGGGAGTATGGGACTGTGTCTTAACTCATGAGAACTGGGTTGCTGTTACAGATATTCTTGATAGAGACTGTTCCCCCTTGTGGAGTTAGTGGAGCTCTGACACAGCTACCTCGGGTGTGTCTGTCTGTCTGTCTCTCTCTCTCCACCAGATTTTAATTCATTAAGTCTTGGGTGAGCCCCAAGAACAACTATTTTCTTAATAAGCAGCCCAGACAATTCTGATACAAGCAGAACTCACACTAACCTGAGAAATACTCCCAGCATCCTGAACTTGGCTGTATTATCTTTCACTCTGGTGGTCTGGTGGTAAGAAGCTGAGCTGCAATCCCAAATGTACATGGTTTAAATCCACCAGCTGCTTGGCAGAAATTAGGCAGTATCTTCTCGTGGCATTTACTTCTGATAAAAGTGTTGGCAGACCAGCTATGAGTCAGTTTCAACTTGATGGCACATAAAAACCACAATTGTTCACTTTGAATCTAGGGTCCTTAACAATCGGCTTTGTATATATGTAACACGTGTACATTTTTCTGGTAATGGTCATAGCTTGTACCTTCCACAGTTTGTAAAATGGCTAGAAATCACTCCTCCAGTTCTCAGCCACATCCCAATGACTTCCTGTACCACTGGTCCAGATTTCTTACCAAACCTGTATAACCATCATTTGCCTTTAGATACTCGACAAGTACCTCCATCTCAGTCTGTACAAAACTGAGCATATCATCTGTTTCCAACAACTCAGTCTGTTTCTACTCTACTTCTCCACCTAGCTGGCTCCTATCTATAACAACCATAGGTACAAATAAATTAAATACTCCCTGATCCTGTGCCACGTTCACAATCATTACTATGTTCCTGACTACAGGGTCCTAATTTAGACCTTTTGCACCTCTCAGATGCAACATCTTCCTAACCAATTTCTTTGCCTCATCTCAATCCACCCAACTTTCCCTCCTATCTAACACTCAGGAGCTTGGTGGCACAGTGGTAAAGACTTAGATTGCTACAAAAGGTTGGCAGTACAACCTCTCTGTCAAAGAGGTGACAGATCACCTTCAATGTAATATAGAAACAGCACTGAAGTGCAAAGTCCTTCAGAATTTGACACTGTTCACCATGACCAATGACTCCATTTCTCCCAAAGTCTCACTTTTCTACCTCCATAACTTGTCATGCTCTCTACTGACTGGAGATCTTTTAACAGAGTATGTTCCATTCTTAGTGCACAAAAGTGGCTGGCATAATGCGTGGCCCCAAAAGTCCTAAAGTTTGCTGAACGGCCAACAGTCCAGCTGGGTGAGTGCAGGGGGCATGGGAGGTCGTCGAGGGGCCTGGCTACTCACCAGCTGTCTGTCGGCCACGGTGCGGTCCGGCACGAGGCTGTACACCTGGCTTCTCAGCGCGATGGGTGGGAGAGCATCCTCGAACAGGCCTCGCGGAAACAGACTGACAAGCTCCAGCACCGCAGCGCGCGCCGACCCTACACAGAAAGATCCGCCAGAGCTCGACCCGGCTGAGACTGCGGGTCAGGTGACGCTGCTTCTGCAGTATCCATGGTTACCGGAGGCGAGGCCTCACCCGGATAGGAGCTTAGGGGGCCCAAGGTTGCCATAATTACCTGACTCGCCCCTCAAAGGATCCACTTTTCCATCTCGTCGCCGCCTTTTCAGCCCAAAGGTGTCTGACACTAGGCGATGTCTCTTCCGGCTCATTTCCTGAAACTTCTGCCTTGTTGGCGCTGGGAAGGGGGCAGGAACCGAGGGAAGAGAGCATTCAAATAGGATCTTCCGGCGCCGAGAAGTGACATAGGGTTCCCTGGGCGTCTCTCCTGGGACACCGTGCTGCGGGCGTGAAGAAAGACTACGTGATGACGAAAGACGTCCCTCGTCATCGCTGGGGGCCGCTGATTGGCTCCCGCTGAGAGCAATCTCGTCCAGTGACAGACACACAGGTGGAGCAGAGGGGCTGCCGCTCGGTGTAACGCCCTTGTGGGCTTTTGCTTCCCATTGTCGCTGAATGATTGCATCATTAAAAGCAGGAAAACCATAATTGCAACCCACTTCGGTTTCTTACGTGCCTGCCATGACGTCATCATAGCCCTGTGGAGCTGGAAGTCGAGGTAGGGGCACATTGAGATAACTGTAGAGCCTGGATCTGAACCCAAACTTCCCCACATCACGTTTGGAAGTGAATGTCCGGGGAATGGGAGTATAAACTACCTGGATGTTTAGAGCCTGGCCATTGGGAGGATCACTTAGTTCTGACCTGAAATCACTCTTCTAGTAGCCTCCTCTGTAAAACGGAAATTGTTTTTCATGCTCAGAAATATATGGAGCGCAAAAGGACCAAGAGAGAAGCTGAGAAGCTAGAAGTAGATGAGCCTCAGAGCAAACTCCCGCATTCAACACCCTCACTGTCCACGAATCCTGCCCTCTATTCTGGGTCCTTTCCTTTCTACCGGCGCCCTTCCGAATTGGGCTGCTTCTCCCTGGATGCTCAACGCCAGTACCATGGAGATGCCCGAGCCCTGCGCTACTACAGTCCGCCCCCTACCAATGGTACAGGCCCCAACTTTGACCTCCGAGATGGGTACCCTGATCGGTACCAGCCTCGAGATGAGGAAATCCGAGAGGGCCTGGACCACCTGCTACGCTGGTTGCTGGAACATCGAGGACAGCTAGAGGGGTGAGCGAAACTTAGCATGTCAGGAAATCCAGAAAACTGCACCTTCCCTTAAAATTTTCACGTTCCTCCAGTCATTAGCACTCATAGCAAATTCCTGTGGCAAAACTATCCCATAGTGTTTTCCTGGTTACCTTTTTTCCGAAACATTGCTAAGTCTCTCTCGCAGGGAGTCACTGGGTGGGTTTACATTGTCCGTCTTTCGGTTAGCAGGTGAGTACTTAATCACTGCCAACTGGGCTCCTTCCCCTTAAAATTAGGAGAGTCACACGTGGAGCAAGTGAGAATCCTTCTTAAAGAAAATTACTGGGCTTATCTTTGGGAGAGCCACATCACACTAATACTTGTGTCAGTCTTCCAACCCTTAACGCCTCGCTCTCAGGGGCCCAGGTTGGCTGGCAGGAGCCATAGTGACATTGCGGGGACACCTGACAAAACTGCTGACCACGCCGTATGAGCAGAAGGAGGGCTGGCAGTTTGCAGCCTCCCGGTTCCAGGGAACACTGTACCTGAGTGAGGTGGAGACACCAGCTGCTCGAGCTCAGAGGCTTGCTCAGTCACCCCTCCTCCAGGAGCTTAAGTACATGGGGTATAAGTTCGAGCAGTACATGTGTGCAGGTGAGAGTTGTCCCTGCTTTGTATGGAGCTGTCTGGCTTCCCCATAGACTGTGTCTACCTTATATTTGCTTCTTTCTTGCACAGACAAGCCTGGAGCCTCCCCAGATCCTTCTGGCGAGGTCAACACCAATGTGGCCTTCTGCTCTGTGATACGAAGCCGTCTGGGGGACCACCCTCTGCTCTTCTCAGCGGAAGTAGACTGCACAGACCCCCAGGCCTCACCCAAACAGCCCCCCGCTTGCTATGTGGAACTCAAGACCTCCAAAGAGATGCACACTCCTGGCCACTGGAAGAGCTTCTACAGGTTTCAGGGTGGGGGTCGGCAAGACAAGAGGTGCTGCTGGGAAAGGGACTTAAGGTAGAAGCAGAAGCTTCAGGGTGAGGGTAGAACAGAGGGAGAAGTTCTCCAATGACCTCCTTGCCTTTTTTCCTGACAGACACAAGCTCCTGAAATGGTGGGCTCAATCTTTCCTGCCTGGAGTCCCAAAGGTAGTTGCTGGCTTCCGTAACTCAGAGGGTTTCATCTGTTCCCTCAAGACCTTTCCCACTATGAAGATGTTTGAAAATGTCAGGGTAAGGCGGTGGTGTTGCAATACCCACCTACATCCCCAACTCTGAGACCAGCATTCAGGGCTGCCGTCCTCATCCCCACACCCCACACCCCCCCTCACTGTCAATCTTTTGACTTCTCTGCCCTCTTTAGTATGACCGTGATGGCTGGAACCCCTCTGTGTGCATGAACTTCTGTGCTGCCTTCCTTAAGTTTGCCCAGAGCACAGTTGTCCAGGATGACCCCAGGTGAGTCACTCAGCACTACCCCTCCTATTTCAGTCCTAGCAGCTGGGCTTTCAGCCCACACCCCTGCCTTTGTCTGGCCCTAGGCTCATCCACCTCTTCTCCTGGGAGCCTGGTGGCCCAGTCACTGTGTCTGTACATCGAGATGCACCCTATGCCTTCCTGCCTACATGGTACGTGGAAGCCATGAGACAGGACCTCCCATCACCCCCCAGGAATCCCTCCCCCCAGGACTGATGTTTTAGAGGGGCTGGTCCCATTTTGTATATATATATAAAATAAAGGCATATTTCTAAGTGGTTCTTCCTTCTATGTCTTCTGAGCGGCACCATGCATGCCTGGAACGTCAAGCATATATGAAGGTTTGCTATTTTATTACATTTTTACGCAGGGGTCATTCCCTAGGTGGCTCACTGGGTGTAGAGGCTGGCTGCAAAGACGATGTCCCGCCTTAGCAGTGTAGCGGCTGTCTCCATCTTGGCACCTAGCACAGGCTCTCCTACCAGGCGGGCTGCCCCACGCAGCGAGCGACACATCTCAGCCAGGCGCTGGATGCAACGGACCACCAGGCCTTCAGGGGTCCCTGAGAGCCCTGCCAACTCAGAAAACGGCTGTGGGGAGAGCAGAATGAGGGCAAATTTGGGAGACCTGGGCAGTGCTTCCCAAAAAGCCATCCACAAAATCCCAAGGGCTAGCCACTTACCATACCCCGGGCCCACTCGTACACAACCTCAACCAGCCCAAAGTTCAGCTCTCCAACAAACTCCTCCACTGTCTGGTTCAGGCCACAGGCTACCTGGACTTCACCAATCCGTTTGGCCACAGCACGAACCCGCTCCACTCCCTGCAGATGGGGAAGGAGAGGTTAAGCCCTACTTCCTGTCCCAGAATAGAGAGGCCCAAAGCAAGAAAAAGCCTTTGCAGCACTTATAACCTAATGAGTTAGGTAGCAAGGCTGAAGAGGACTGTTGGGGTACTTAGGGTACAGGGTGGGAATGCCGCAGCCTAGGGAACAGGGTCCCCCCTACCTGTTTGAGGGTACTCGGGAGCTGGTCCCCAGGGTCTCCAGCACTTTGGCAGACCAGGCCAGAGAGTAGGGCTGCAATCTCCTCAGGCCGCAGGGCGCTTAGTGCATTGTCAAACATGAGCTCAGTGAGGAGCAGCTCATGGCTGCTCATAGCACAAGCCACCCGCCCCGCCAGCTTCACAGTGCTTGCTTCATCCACATAGCCCAGGGTTCGGAGCACCTGGAAGGAAGTGGGTAAGTGTTGGGGAGCCTGTGTTCTCTCTCACAGTTCCCCAGCCCCTTCCTTTGCCCCTCCCACCTCTACTCGCTGGTGGTACTCGGGAAGCAGCAGCAGTGACTGGTCTGACAGCAGGAAACGCAGCCGTTCCATCTCCTTCTGTATCTGCACTCGCTCATGTAGCTTCAGGTACTGCAGGAAACCCCGGGAGGAACCCCTGAGTCAGCCCTTCACCCCTCAGCAAGGCTCCACTGAGGGCAAGGGCAGAGATGAGCATGGCCAGAGTACAAGTTAAAGTCTCCTGCTTCACGGGCTGGGAGCTGGCATCTGGGGCCCTACCTGGGCAGGGAACCGGGGGCTGTGCACACACTGAGCCCCCTGGATCAGCTCTTCGAGCTTGCGGGCCCGGAGACCACCCTCCACCACTGATACATCCTTGAGCTGCAGGTCATTGACAGGGTCAAGGGTAGCAGGTCCTGCTGGGTGGGCCTGAGCCAGGCGTAACAGTTCCTGGACAGCAGTGGTTACAGCTGCAAAAGGAGGGTCCTTCCTGAGAAAGGAACAGGTCTTGAGACAAGGACAGGAGGATTCTCACCCATATACGATCCCTCAGACTGTGGAAGTGCCCTTACCACCCACACTCTCCACCCGACCTCATGGAGACACTCCCGCGGGGAAGCACCCCACCACACCCACACCCACCTCATGCCACCTGAGCCCTCCCCAGTCAAAGGGTCTCCCCAGTATATCTGACTTGAATTTCGGTTGCTGCCTCTTGTTGAAATCCTCCAAGATCTTCTCCCCGTGCACTCGGAGCACCTTAGTGGTGATGGCAGCCACATCTCCTGGCTGGAGCTTGGCCACAACATGATCACAGGGCCCTGTGGAGGAGGAAGCAGGCTTAGGCCACACACAGACCACACATCCCACCTGCGCTGCCTTCAGAACCTGGCACCTGCCTCACTATCACCTTCAGGCAGGAACAGCTTAAATCCCACGAGGTCATCTGGAAAGGGTACATGTGGGGTGGTTGGCCCACGGTCTTTCAGGTCCTCACTGGGCTTATCACACAAGACAAGAGTTGTGAATACTCTGCTGGTGGAGTTTGAGGAGACCTGGCGGGCAGAAAGGCCAAGAGGGGGTGTGAGAAGTGGACATCAAAGCTGAAGACCAAATGCCTATTCTCAGGCAGGGACCCTGCAAGCAGCCATGCAGAGTCACATAAAGGGGCATCGAGTCAAAACACTCAGAGCAGATTTTAGGGTGAAGAGAGGAGAGGGGGAAATGGACACTGCAGTGACCACCACCTTCTGCAACCCAGTGGGGTAAATGGAGACAAGGCCTCATCCCCCTCACCTGCAGAATCACCCCCAAGGCATTATGATGCTCCTGATTCTTCACGACCACCACCCTTCCCACTGAGAGAGATTTCAGCCCGTTTACGGACTCCATGATGCGCCGCTGGAGAACAGAGACGAGCACCGAGGATAAAAGAGGAAATGCTTGGACCCAGGTTCGAGGCACCCAGGGTGAAGAGTTCTCTTCCTCCCTGCCTTCATTATTGCTCCAACATACATACCTGGATCAGGCTCCGAATCTCTGTCAATTCCTCCCCCCAGCTGTAATACTCAGGCAAGTCAACCAACTGGCCACTCACATCAGGCTCTTCTAGAGCCCCTAATTTCTTGGTCAGCTCAGCCAGAGACTGTTCATGTGCCTGAGGGTTGGGGGGGGGGGCATGGGTGGGTTATCAAATGAGTCTCAAGCCCAGTCTGCCACCCACCGCTCACTTCCACCTCTCCTAGATGGCCACTTATGTACAGCAGTTTCCCTTCTCTGACCTTCTGCCCAGCACACTCGTCACTCAACCTCCTTACCTTGCTGTCCTTTCGAGACGGAAACTCAGAGAAGCTCCTCTTCATCATGTCCTCCACCCTGAGTGCGTCCACACGCAGCAGGTTGAGAATCATGGTGTACGTGAGGCGGAACTGGGACTGCAGCTGGGACGGCTTCCCCTGGGGCCAAGTCAGGCAGCTCAGGTTGGGATTTTATCTAGTAGACCAAGACCCAACTCTGCAACTAGAGGGTCCTATAAAAACTGTTTGCCCATGCACACCCATGTTTATTGCAGCTTTGTTCACAATAGCAAGGAGTTGGAAACAACCTAAGTGCCCATCAACAAACGAATGGCTAGAGAAGCTGTGGTATATTCGCACAATGGAATACTATGCTGCATTAAAAAACAAGGAACTCATGCAATATTATTCAAAATGGTTGACTCTGGAGAACATTATGCTGAGTGAAATATCCCAGTGATGCCACTGCTGTAGAATGGGACTGTCCTTGAGGTTGGGGAGAGACTGAGTAAGATGGGCTCAATAATGTATACTGCACTGAAACAGAGGAGGGAGAAAACTGTTTAAAAGAGATATATGACTAGGTACTTCTGTCATCACAGGAGTCTAGAGCGAGGGCTACATGGTGGAGGGGACCTGGGGGAGGGTTTGTAAAACAATGAAAGAATCCTTTCTTTTACTTTTCCATAATTTTTGACTCATGTACTTATAACTTGTTAGTCAAATTTGTGTCTTCTAGGTTGCAACACCCCCATGATACATCTTCAAGGATATGAACATGTACAGCCAAGCACAATCAATAAGAGTGCATCTAAATTCCAAAATCAATCTCCATAATAGTCTATGTGTTTCCTACTGCCAAAGGGGCCCTTTAGAGTAGTGAGAGAATATCTTCACCCTGAAACCCACAGCGTCCCTTTTCAGCAGGAAGTAGCTAAGAGAATACGCCATCCCCTTTTCCTTATGAATCAGGGTGAAGTCTCTCTCAGGGAGGAGTGATAGGGAATGGCAAAGGACACACCGACAAAGGAGATTAATCAGAACTGACTTTGACAAGCACTGTGGCAATTGGACAATTAAAACAGACATTCAGATGGCGGAGAAGAACAACAAACTGGGGAGGAGGGTAGAGAGAATGGTGCAGCAATGAAGGAATGGAAACCCAAAATCCCTGTAAATGTTCATTAAAACTAATAAAATTTAATAATAATAAAAAAAAACCAAACTGTTTGCCCTCCTCTGCAAGATAAAGTTGCTAAACTACATCATAAATAGGCTTCTAAAGGCCCTGTCATGCTCCATATTCACAATGAGAAAAACTACAGAAGACGTGATCTCTTAGTTTCAGTATCATTCATGGATTTTCTCACTCCTACCCCAAATATCTCATGGTCTGCAAAAAGAATGAACAGATGTGTTGGACAAAGTGCAGCTAGAGTGCTCCTTGGAAGCAAGGATGGCAAAACTTTATCTCACATACTTTGGGCATATTGTTAGGACAGGCTATTTTTTGGGAAGGAGACATCATGCTTGGAAAAGCAGAGACAGTCAATGAAAGAAAAGAAGACCCTCAATGAGACAGACTAACACAAAGACTGTAACAATTGGCTCGAGTGTGTCAGAGATGATGAGGATGGCACAATAGGACAGGGTTCAGATCTATTGTTTATAGAGGTACTCCAAGTCATACTTGGCTCCATGGCACCTAACAACAACAAAAGCGTAACTTCAGCAACTCCAATGGTGCTGTGGTTCAGGCATTTGGCTTCACCAAATGGCTGGTAGTTTGAACCCACCAACTGCTCTGCAAGAAAAAGACAGAGCAGTCTGCTTCTGTACATTTACAGCCTTGGAAACCCGATGGGGCAGTTGTACTCTGTCCTGCATGGCTACTGTGGGAGGGAGTCAGCTTAATGTCAGTAGTGGGAACTCTGGCCTCAAGAAGCCCTGGCAGTGTAACAGGTAAAGAGAAAGACCTAGTAATCTGCTCCCATGTAAAGACTACAGCTTAGGAAATCCTATGAGGCAGTTCTGTTCTACTCTGTCACGTGAGGATGCTATGAGTCAAAATCCACTTGATGATACCTCATGATGGTAACAAGGAGTCTTGGTGGCCTAGTACCTAAAAGAGAACTGTGGTGGAGTAGTTTGTAGGGAATTGTATGCTAACCCAGAAGGCAAACGTTTCTGGTGATTCTTAAGTGGCTCTTTAGGAAAAAGAAGGGCAATCTCTTCCCGCGCAACTTAGAGCTTCGAAAATCCAGAGGAGGATCAGCTTTGAGTCAGTTCTGACTCAAAAAGAGTGAGTTTGAGTTTTTTCATAACAACAACAGCTTTGCAAACTCAGGCAAAAGAAAAAGTAGGAAAAGGGGAGAAATGAAAGAAGGTTGGAAAAACGAGAATCCAGTAGGTTCCCCAGAGCTGGAGCGTGTTTGGTAGTCTCGTGTGGCCCACTCACCATCATCATACGGTGCAGATCTGCCATCTCAGGCACACGGCCCTTGCAAAGCAGGATGACAGTGCCAGTGGGATCCAGGCCCCGCCGGCCAGCCCGGCCTGCCATCTGCACGTACTCCCCAGGGAGCAGGTCCCGGAAGGTGGAGCCATCATGCTTACGCATAGAGTCGAACACCACTGTTCGGGCGGGCATGTTTACACCCATGGCAAAGGTCTCTGTGGCAAACAAGACCTGGGGCAAAGGGCAATAAAGAGGATCAGCAAAGGGGCTGCACGCACACCCTTGCTCCGGCTAAGCCACCTTACTTTGTAGCCAGGCATAGTACCAGCTTGTAAACTCAGAAGATTTCATTTCATTCTCCAGGCAACTCTATGGGTAAATGCCATCATTATTCTCTATTTATACAGCTACTTATTTCCTCTTTTTCACTCTCATATCCCACTCCTCACTCTCACTGGCAACCATGTTAATGTGTTTACCAGTATCTGTTGCCACTTGTCATCCAACTTAAGTGCCTCTGAGTGGGTTTGAACCTCCAACCTTTCAGTCAACAGCTGAGTACCTTATCTGTATGCACACACACAACTCCACCAAGGGACGCCTTCAACATGTTTAACATGTTGCCGCAAATAACAGCGAAATGTATTTCTAAGCACAGCCGTCAATTTAAAAGTGTGTGGCAACGTGTAGTTATCTTTTTAAGTAACTGTATTTTTGCCAATCATGTCTTATTTTCTTAGCATGTCACTCACAACTTACATAAAAGATACTGTTCAATATTTTACCTGGCTTTACTGCTTTTTCACCACAAAGTGTTTTCAATATCCACCTATGTTCCTGTGGTTCCATCTAATGTATGGTTTCGAGCTGCTGGAGCACTTTGTATACCGTGTACAGTCCCCATATTTCACCTACCTTTTTCCCAGTGAAGGGTCCCCGGTCCCATCAATGCCCCACTACCACAAAACAGATTATACATCAAACAAGCTAAGAAGCTGAGTGTTTTCTCATGGACCAGGGTGACAGTTCTTTGCAGAATATCCCCAGGAGTCGAATCACAGGATCAAAGACTATGCTATGTTATGCTTACTTTGCTTAAATAGAGCCAGAGCACACTCAATACTGGTTGCACTTACGCACAGTGGAAGAGTGGTCCCATAATCCCATGTCTCTTTCAACCCTTAACATTAGCCAGCTTCCTAACATCTGTCAGTGTCATAGCAGTATAGTTACAATTTATGAGTATTTCAATTTTCATTTCTCTGGTTACTAATGATTTTTCACATGCTTATCAACTTTTTGGCTTTCTCTCCTGAAAATTGCCTGTTCCTATCTTTTAAGTATCCACTTTGAGATGGGAAACCTAAAGCTCAGAGAGGTTAAATCATTTTCCCATGGGTTCAAATCCAGGCAGATAGTATGGATCCAGAGCTCAAGCTCCTAGCCACTACACTGTCCTGCTTCAACATCTACCTCTCTGCCCTCTGAGCAGGCCCTACGGGGATGTGTCCTGAGCATCCTCCTCCCACCACCCTGTGTACCTTGACCAGGCCTCGACTGAAAAGCATCTCCACAATTTCCTTAAGGATGGGCAGGATACCACTGTGGTGCACACCCAGGCCACGGTGCAGGAGCTCTGACATGTGCAGGACCTGCAAAAGGCCAAACCCATGGTCAGTGATGAGGTCGCGGGGCACCCAGCCCCCTTCAGTCTCGCAGGCCCACCTCTCCACACCTGGGGCAGCTGGCGATCAGAGCCACGGAGGCGGGCGAGACAGCGCTGCAGGAAAAGGTGAATCTCACTCTTCTCTGAACTTGTAGTGAGGTCAAGGGAGGTGAGGCTGGAGGCCTGTTCATCACAGCGGCCCCGAGAGAAGGTGAACACCACCACAGGCAGTTGAGCACGAGTTCGGAGAGAAGCCAGCAGGGACAGGTACACACCTCGGTCCTGGTGAAGAAGGAAAAAGGAACAGATGTTGAGGGCCTAAGCTAGTGGAGCTGAAGAACGGGAGATGCAAAGCTGTGTCAAAGGGTGCAAAGCTCAACACCAGACCTTGAAGGGAAGAATAGCCAGGGAAACAGGTATTACCCTTCCAGTCTCACCTGAGCAGGCCCCCCCTGGTGGGTGGGTTGTTTGGCCCCAAAGGTTTGGGCATGCTTGCTCATTCTCTCCTTCTTGGCCTCCACTGCTGCATAGTATCTGGGGTGCAAAGGAGGATGGCGGTGACACTCAGCCAGAGCCCAGCCTTCCCCTTCCCCCACAATCTCTAGGCTTACCCCTTCGTATGGAAGGCTCCTCGGGAGTCTAGCAGGAGGAAGAGCTCCCCCTGGGTCTTGGGGCTGTTCCCTGTGAAGAGGTAATGCTCCAGAGGGACAGGGCGGGCGACCGTGCTGATCACATAGATTTGACGACGCTTCAGTCGCCTGGAGTGAAGCGGGGAAATGACCGTTAAGTCAGGGGTATGAGTAGAAAGGAAACTACATCCCTCATCTTTCCCTATGCCCTCAGACGTCACTTCTTGAGAGCCAGAACTGGGGCTGCCTCCTACCATCCATCTCTCAAGATGGAAAGTGATCTTAATCTGGGCCCAAATGCATGATAAGAATGATAAAAATCAGCCAATTCAGACAGGTTTCCCTGCCACACTGTCCTTCCCACTCTGAGGCCTCCCCACTCTACTTGCTGTTGTCATCTTAATGCCCTTGGATCAAGGAATACTGTATCCCTCCAAGAACTCCAGGACACACAGCTTACCCAATCCAGTCAGCAAATTCCAGGGCATTGGGGACGGTGGCACTCAGCAGGATGATGGAGACATGGTCAGGGAGCATGATAAGCACTTCCTCCCACACGACCCCACGCTGGGCACAGAGAGGGAAGATGGATCACAGAGGACCAAGCAGGATTAAGGACGACTTCCCTTTTGCCCCCCAGAGAAGTGGCATAAGGTTCCATTTGCCAGAAAGGCAGGGGGGACTGCTGAACTGCTCCCAAAGGAGAAAGCTGCCAGTGTCTGGGAATCCCATGCCTCTTACCTCAGCGTCATTGATATAGTGAACTTCATCAAAGATGACCCACTCTAGGTCCCGAATGACATCTGAACCACTGTACAGCATGGAGCTGGAGAGAAGAGCCAAAGCTGACATCCCAGGGGCTCCTCTCCTCAGCCAACACGATCTCTGGAGCAACAGCATCTTCCCAGAACCACACCGCATCCCAACTCCACCTCTGCAGAGCACCATCTCTCACCGGAGGATCTCTGTCGTCATGATAAGGCAGGAAGCTTCTGGGTGCAATTGCACGTCCCCAGTGAGCAGCCCCACATCCCCAAATGTGTTCCGGAAGTCTCGGAACTTCTGGTTGCTCAAGGCTTTGATGGGTGATGTGTAGATAGTACTAGGGAGAGGCAAAGATTTAGCCAGTCCCATCACAGAGACCAATGATCAAGACTCCTGCCCCTCTGAGCCCACCCAGAAATATGAGGTCCAGTATTTCAGAGGTCAAGTGACCCCTTCTTCACCCCAAATGCCCTCATATTTTCCTTTACAGTGTAACTCCAAAGTCGTTCAGTTCCCCAACCTCTTGCTAAATGAACACAAGTCATTCTTCTACCTTCTCTCTCCACTTGTGCATTTTTGTCTCTCTCTCTGAGCCTCTGTCTTAATTCCCCCACTTCATCTAAAGAAGCAGGTGAAGGGCAGGGAGGATATGTGAAAGGGATACAGGGGGAAAACAGTGCTGACAGGTGAAGAGAGAGTTGGGGAGCAGGGGAGACATATACCGAGTCATGTGTTTCTGGGCCAAGGCAATGGCATATTCAGCCACAACCGTCTTCCCTGCAGATGTATGAGCTGCGACGAAGACAGAGTTGTGCCGTTCTAAATGCAGGATGGCTTGTTTCTGAAACACATCAGGCTCAAATGCCCACTGAGGGAGAAACAGAGAGAGACGGCGCTGAAGAAGAAAGAAAGGACTTCCAGGCTCCCACTCAGAGAATGGCAAGAGGAAGTCGTAGCAAGCAAAGGTTCTGCCTGAGGCCCAAGTCGGGCTTGGAAAGTAGAGAGAGGAGACAAGGAGAGAAGAACTGGGACCATTCTACCTGGAAAGCTGGCTGGGGAATGAGGCGGTAGAAATCCCCAACAGGGGAGGTGACATCCACAGGAATGGCCCACTGTTCCTGAGGTGGGGGCTTGGGAGCCTCTGGGGAGGATACCACTGTAGATGCTTCCTGGAAAATACGGAGTAGGGATGATAAAGATCCAGTCAGAGTGCTCTTCCTTCCCTCTCCTTCCCAAAGAAGTTCTGTCCCGAGACCTTCCCAGACCAGCACTCCCTCCCTTTCCCACCTCCACTGCCTAGAACCACCAACCTTTAACACTAAGTCCTCTAAGCTGCTTGCTCGAACTAGGGGAGCACTGCAAGAAGCTGGAGAAGCTGAAACGGTGTCTTCTCTTGTACTTCCTGGTTTTCCCACTGTCTCGCTCTCATCCTCATCGCCCCCACCCAAATAAAGGGGTTCCAGGAGACGACTGAGGCTGAGTAACCCAGGAGCTGAAGCTGGGTGATCTGAAGACCAAGAGGAAAGACTTATTTCTGACTCTATTCCATGGCAGAAGGGCACCCCTTCTCTCGTGTCTCCATCTCAAAATGGAAGCTTACTCTTTGGTGCAAAATCCACACCCTTCTTGAAGCCAGGAGGAACAGTAAGAAGATCTGAAGTACAAGGAGAGAGAGTAATCAGGGCCACCATACACTACTCTACAAGCTGTAATTTCACAAGCCTAAGGGATACCATTCACAGAATAAACATCATCAATAGGATTATTTAGGGGTATTTGACACAATAGTTTTCTAACAGACAACAGTGACAGTTGTTATAGCAAAGGTACCTTTTCCTAATTCCCTCAAAGGCATGAAAGGACTACTAGCAGTTCCATGATAAGTTTGAAGACCTTTTTTTCAGAGCCTAGACTCAGAGCCTTACCTCCTAAGAGTCAATGTGGGCACCTCACCTTTCTCAAAGTCAATTTCCTCCTCGGCCTCCTCACGAGTGTTCATATCTGTTATTGTGGGCTCATCCATTCCACCTGGGGAGAGGTGGACAGACAGGGATTCACGGAGTAGGGGTGACTAGAGATAGGTCTCTTCCCAAGAAACTAAACCCTCCCTCCTTCTACTGTCCTCTTGCTAAAAGTGTCACCTGGCCAGAAAGGGTACTGTGTTGGATTTCCCCATAAGGCCTGTGATAAGGGCCCAGGGGGCCGGCGAAGAGACAAGGAGGTTGTGGCTGAGAGGTTGGTGTTCTCCAGAAGGACCTAAAAGCAAAAGACCAGATTCCCATTGAAGCTGAGCTTGCCTCTGACCTCTTTTCTCCTGACTCTGTTTCCTATGGTCCCTAACCTATTACCTCTTTGTAGCCCAGTATCTGGCCCGTGGTTGAATGTCTTTGGGCTTGTAGGTCAGAGGGAACTGGTGACCCCGGAGCAGCCAGGAGAGACCAGGGATCAGTCTTCCTCTGCCATTTCCTAGAGAAAAGAAAAGTCATTTCCAAGTCTTATTTCCTTCAGGATCCCATGTCCCTAGTCCTGGCCCATGAAGACCCCTTACCAGGCTGAGTGCTCCACGCCATGCAGAGGCAGCCAGGCTGGGGAGGACAGAAACAACTGTTCTGCTTCTTGCTGCAGATCTGGGGCACAGGGAGGAAGTCCATGGGGAAGCTGGAACAAGGGTGAGATGAGAGAAGTTAAGAAATAAAGGGGATAACAAAATATAGAAAAAAAAAGTGACAGGATTCTTAGTTATATAAGTAATGGTAAATGTTCCAGAAAACTAGTTTTCTCAATGAGTCTGAACGGTTTTTTCTGAAGATTATAAAAAAGCGACTTGCTACTGAACTACCCTGAGTACTGGTTGATAATATAGATTTTTGTTATATTATCTATAATCTCTGGGGACAATCTGGAAATGTACATTTTTAAAAACTTATGCCCAGTAATTCTGAGGCACACTAAAATTTTACTTGGATCCACATCTAACACCCATGGTTGTGGCAACCAAGAAATCAAGACACATTGCACTGGGAAAATCTTCTGTCAAGGACTTTTTCAAAGTGCAAAAGAGAAATCATGTCAGTTTAAAGGCTAAGGTGCCCTGATCCAAGCCATGGTAGTTTCACTTGCTTCCTATGCATCTGAAAGTGGTACAGTGAATAAACATGCTAGAAGAAGTATTGATATCTTTGAATTGTGGTGTTGGCCAAGAATATCAAATACTCTAAGAACTGTCAAAAGAACATTCATTTTCTAGGAAGTGTAATCAGATTGTTCCTTATAGGCAAGAATGGTGAAACTTCATCTCATAAATCCTGGGAATGTTATCACACTCAGCCAGTCCTTGGAAAATAATATCATGCTGGGAAAGGTGGAGAGTCAGAGAAAGCCCCCTCAACAAGACAGTCTGACAGAGAGTAACAATGGGCTGCAGCATGTAGAACAGGACAGGATAGTGTAAGGTTCTGATCTGTTGTTCACAGTATCACTGAGTCGTAGTTGACTCAACAGCATTTAAGAATAGCAACAGTTTTAGACAAAGGAATCCTGAGTCTAAAGATGAAAAACCAGGGACTCAAATGCTAGCATCTCCAGCATCTAGCACACCCCTGATGCTTGGAAAGGGGGGTGGGGCGGGGCAAGGACTCCAAGGAGGATGAAAAGAAAGAGCGGCTGCCAGCACCAAGTTTCCACTAGTGCTCGCTGTTCTATCCTTATATGGGCTCTAAGCCACCATAGATCCACTGAGCTGGGATCTGTCCAGCACCACGAGGAGCCTGAGTGACAAGTGTCCAGGGACTGGAGAGTGATGTCAGGTTACTGTAAAAGGGTGGAGGTGATTTTCTCAATGCTATGTCAAAGATTAGGGTCAAGCCACTCACAGTGCTGTCTGGAGCTCCAGGTACGTTCAGCAACTCCCAGCGCCCAGTGCATCCCAACTCCACAGCCCTAAGAGGCAGATCCAGAGGACCTGGGGGAGGCAACACTACCGAGGGGGGGAAAAAAAGGAGCAAAGGTCAGAGGTCAGGGGGTCAATCCTTCTCTACTCCTGTTCTGCTCTGTCCTCACCTAATCGCTCGGTCTCCAACATCTTGGAGCCAACGCAGCATCCATGCAGCTCAAAATTTCACGAGAAGTCCCGCCCCGCTACGGGCGGAAGTGGCCACTACTTCCGGCACACCCACCGCTGGGGGCGTAGATGGTCGCGGCTTATAAGCAGGTCAGCAACAGAGGCGGCCGGGCGGAAGTGTCTGTGTTTCAGCCGCCTTGGTTACCGCGTTCTCCGCCCCGCCTCTACGTCATCGCTCTGAGACCGCTATCAGCGGCCCGCGCGGGCGCCGCGGGAGACCGTGAACCCACCCCCCCCCGGTTGCCGCCCCCTCAGGTAAGACATTCTCTTCTTCATCCTTTACCCCTTTTTCGGGGCCCCTTCTTCTTGGTTCTAATTTTGTTGCTCTGAGAGCGCTGCGCAGGTTTCACTGCCTCCTTTGCTGTTCGCTCCCTGCAGTTGCCATACTAACTCCAATGGGGGGCAGGGGGGCCGAGCGTCATAGCGACAGAGGGAGTGTTTCTCTCTCCCGGGGCCACGTGGTGCCCCCAAGACTCTGATGTCTTAGATCTTTGAAGAAAGACGGGAATGTCGATTGATCCCAACGAACAGGGGCTTGGACGGCTGCCGGGCTTAAGCAAAGAGTAGGGAGAGGCCAAAGGCAGGAATGGGCAGGTCCAGAGGGTTGTAATTGGGCACAGTATGGACGACGTGTGAACCCTGGGCTCTGACATTAGAAAAAAGATATCTTGAGCTATGCCCCTGAACCAGGAGCCACCATGTTGGTGATACCCCCCGGACTGAGCGAGGAGGAGGAGGCGCTGCAGAAGAAATTCAACAAACTCAAGAAAAAGGTGAGCGTTGAGGGGTGGGGGGGCATGGCCCTGCCTTTCACAGACTGCAGTAGAACACCTAGGGTGAGTGTTAAGAGAGTAAAGCTTCTGGCTCATGGAGACTTAACACCTTGCAGTGTATATCCAAGAGATGGTCTTTCTCCAGTGTATATTTTCTCTTCCACAGGCCTTCATGGAGTTGTCTTCTTTTACCATGCCTGTTAGCACTACTCAAGAACTAACATCCCCAAGCTTGGTTTTTCCAGTTCCGTCCAGTATTTTACTGATACTTTGCAGAAACTTCTTTTTCTTGTCTTTTCCGTCCTTGACTCAATGGCACTTAACATCATCCTAATATAGTTCTTTTTCTTGACCTTCCGTATGGAACTAAATACATGTGTTTAGATTCAAAACCTCATCCCTGATTTCTCCATTATTTGCATAGTCAGAACATTTGCCAAGCCTTCTTGATCCCCCCCCACACACACACACACACCCCCTGACATAATTTCTGGCATTTGTTCTTTCATTTCTATTCTCTAGGTTTGATCTCTGCCAACAATCACCTAAGTTGTGGTGGTGGTGTCTCAAAAAGTTTCTTAGTCTTTATATATATTTTTTTGCTTTTATCAGAATGATTCATTGGAAATACAATACTATACTGGTTTCACACCCTTTTCTTGGCAGGGGCTGGGTGTGCAATCCTGGTCTCCATTATGTATGGAGGCAAAGGAAAAGGGCTCCAGCCCCCTAGGTGTCACATTTTCGGTGCCAGTGGCTTATTGTCTACCCGTTGTATTCTCAAGTGCTGAGACAAAGGACAGGGGGCGGGGGCGGGGGGGGGGAGCACCAAACTATACTGTTTTCATGTTGTAGAACATAGCCACAAAGCCTTAGCTTCACATCCTTTTCCAGGTAAAAAGAACCTATTCACTTGTCACTAAACATCCATTCCCACAGCCCTGCTTTGCTACTCAAGTTTTCTTTATCTAAACTTTTTCTTACTCATCTATTTGGACTCTGTTTTACTAGCCGTGGGACACCAGACAACCTTCTTGTCACCTGCACATGATCTGGACTTCTTATAGGCAGTCCTGGTAGTTTGATCTAATTGGTCTGTTTCTTAGACTGAAAGCTTTCTGATTATAAGGAATAAATGGTCAAAGCATCCAAGAAGGACTTAGAGGTTTATATTTATATTTGTAGCTTATACTCTAGGGTTCTGATCAAAAATTGAACTCCTTGTCTCCGGCTTCAAAATAGTAAGAGTCTGGCATGGCTCCAGATGTCATGGTTTAAATAGGTAAGGTGTAATTAGCATTGTAGGAGATCTGGGAGACTGTGTGTGAAAGGCAGGTTGCCTCAGTGCACCACTGAGGGCTCCACTCAGCACACTGTTTGCATCATTTTCTCTGAGAGGTTGTTCGCAGGGGTAATAGCCCTGGGGCTTTCAGTGAGGACCTGGCCAGGAACTAGTCCTCACCAACTCTTCTCTTAACCTCATTCCCAGAAAAAGGCACTGCTGGCTCTGAAGAAACAAAGTAGCAGCAGCACAGCCAGCCAAGGCGGAGTCAAACGCTGTGAGTGATGAAGTGTGGGGATGGATTGGAAGTAGTCAGCATTGGGTTGACCTGTGTCACAACCTGGCCAAAGTAATGCCTTCTTCCCCAATACTCCAGCACTGTCTGAGCAACCTGTGGTGGACACAGCTACAGCAACAGAACAGGCAAAGCAGCTGGTGAAATCAGGAGCTATCAGTGCCATCAAGGCTGAGACCAAGAACTCAGGCTTCAAACGATCTCGAACCCTAGAGGGGAAATTAAAGGTGAGAAGAAACAAGTTGTCGAGAGAGAACCCTTTGCTTCAGAAGCCATCTCTCTCGGTTGTAATGGAGGTGTATTTAGGGGAAATGTAATGTCCATTCAGTCATACACTGGTTACTTTGCTGTTCTGAGCTTTGAGTTTGATAAAATGAAAGAAACTGAATGGAATCTAAAATTGCCTTCATTCTACACATAGTGGCCTCTCATGCATCATCGGTGTAGAGTAAGTCTTGGGAAATGTTACTCTAAGGGCTTGACCCAGCTGAAATGGTTTCAGGTTTAAGAAAGGTTCATTCACATGTGAAATATTTTCAAGTATATCAGGTCATTTAGGAAACTACTAATAGTCAATAAAAACCTAGCAGAATTAAAAACTGAGAGAAGCTAAGAAGAGGAACTAATTTGTCCTCTGGTAGTTGGTAGGCCCCTGTTCCCACTGAAGTAGATCTTTAACACCTCTCCAGGACCCCGAGAAGGGACCAGCTCCCACTTTCCAACCGTTCCAGAGGAGTGTCTCTGCCGACGATGATCTGCAGGAGGTAGTGGTTCCCAGTTCTTTGTCTCTCGGGGGATAGGGATCGAGGAAGATGAGAGACCCCTGCCTCCAGCCAGGAAACATCTTAACTGTTCTTGGACTCTTTTTCAGTCATCCAGACGTCCCCAGAGGAAGTCTCTGTATGAGAGGTTAGAGAGTGTAGTCCCACTTGGCACAGGGTGGTAAAGGGGGGAATTGCCTGGATCCATGGGAGGTATGGGGCTGGAATGTAAAGAACTGGGGCCACAGAGGGACTTAGAGGCTCCCGAGGGCTTAGGGGAGGAAATAAAAGTACCCTTTGATCCTCTCTTTTGCCTCTCCTCAGCTTTGTGTCTTCCAGTGACCGACTTCGGGAACTGGGGCCAGATGGGGAAGAGTCAGAAGGCCCAGGGGCTGGTGATGGCCCCCCTCGGAGCTTTGACTGGGGCTATGAAGATCGTGGTGGTGCCCGCTCCTCAGCCTCCCCTCCCCGAAGTCGCAGCCGGGACCGCAGTAGAGAGCGAAACCGGGACAGAGACAGAGAGCGGGAAAGAGACCGAGACAGAGAGCGAGATCGAGAGCGGGACCGGGATCGGGACAGGGACAGGGACAAGGATCGAGAGCGGGACCGGGAGCGAGAGCGAGACAGAGAGCGGGAGCGAGACCGAGACCGAGAGGGCCCTTTCCGCAGTAAGTGACCTGTGAGGAAGGTGGCCTTGGCTCTAATTTAGGTACAGTGTGTGAGGGGAAATAAAAGGGGAGTTGGGGTATGTCTTCTGACTGTTATTCTTGATCCCATAGGGTCAGACTCATTCCCTGAACGCCGGGCCCCTCGGAAGGGAAATACTCTCTATGTGTACGGAGAAGACATGACACCTACCCTTCTCCGTGGGGCCTTTTCTCCCTTTGGGAACATTATTGACCTCTCCATGGACCCACCCAGAAAGTAAGGATAATATCCAAGAAGGTGGTAGAAGGTGGTGAGTCCTGGGGGACAACGCCAGCCTGTCTCCAGTGGCCAGTGAGCCCTGGATCAGGTTGGGTCAGGGGAAGAGGTCATAGGCCTTTCACTGACTCTGTTCTCTCTCATCTCAGCTGTGCCTTCGTCACCTATGAAAAGATGGAGTCAGCAGATCAGGCTGTTGCTGAGGTTGGAACTTCCCAGATCTGTTCTTTTCATCCTTCCAGCCATCTTTGTGATTTCTTCTTAAGATACTGGGAGCCATGAGGAAGTTAGTTCCTCTTGACAGAGAAAGCCCCTTCCTATTCACACAAGGAGCATTATTTTTTCAGAACCCCATTTAGTCTGCCTGTATATAGGATAGTAACTTAAAGAAGTCTTCCTTTGGTTTGTCTATAATATTCCCTCTGTTTCCTTCCCTCTTCTCCCTCAGCTTAATGGGACCCAAGTGGAATCAGTACAGCTCAAAGTCAACATTGCCCGCAAACAGCCCATGCTGGACGCTGCCACTGGCAAGTCTGTCTGGGGCTCCCTCGGTAAGAGCAGCAGCAGTATTCTTCCTTGTCCTCTCCTTTGTTCACAGTTCAGCACTTCATTTTGTTTCTCTGCATATTCCGGGTTTCCCAAGAGGTAGTAGAGATGTAGATTTGTGTGGATAGAGGGAAAATTGTCAGGCCCTTTGCTGGGTAGAGGTAGGGAAAGTAGAGAAAAGGATTGCAGGTGACTTCTGAAGGGTGATTGAAATGGGAAGAAAGTGGCAACCAGAATCAGGTTGGCAAGGAAGATTGGTCTCTCCAGAGGTGCCCCTGTTAGTTTTGAGAGGGAGTACAGTGATCTTCTAAGCATTTGAAACTAAGAATAAGAAACACAGAGGACTGAAAGAATAGAGTTAACTGTATGCAGGGTAGCTGCAAAATGATCATGTTAATAGGGAAAGCAGATTTTGGTGGGGGAAAAAATAGCCCTTATCAGAGCTTGAGGGTTTGCCCTGCATGTCTCCAGCCTGCCTGGCATATCAGCCTAAAATTGAGGGTGTAACAAGGGAGGCAAAAGGAAGAGTTAGCTGGTCTGGAAGCAGCTCTAAGAAGGGTCTGGACCACTGGAGGTGAGGGGCACAACTCTGAGGAGAGGGGTCAGCAGTGACAAGAAATTAAAATCAAAGAATGGAAACTGGGCTAGGAGAGAAAAAGGGACAGTGAGTGGAATTCACTCCAATCCTGGTATGGTGGGGATAGAATCCTTGGGGATGGACTGAAGAGGAGGACATAGTGGGTTCAGGAGGAAAGAGCAAGGGTAGAAGCAGCTAGGGAGTATTCTTACAGCCAAAGTGGCACCTCAAATGATTTCCTTTGAAGGGCCTAGGAGTATTTCTCTGTGTGAAATAAGCTGACAGAGCTTTTTGCCAAAAATGTATTTCCCCTAGAAGAGTAGGCAGAAAGAGGATTCTAAACAACTTAGAATTGACCAAATATCAATACAAGGCTGCCAAAGTTTTTCTGATCTTTAATTTTTCAAATACTGACTGAAATTAGTAGGTTAACATCATTCACATTTGTCAACAGTGGCAACATTTTGAGTTTTGCAGAGAACTAGCATTCATTTCAGTGTCCACAGTACCTCAGTAACACCTAGACTCCTTTCTGTGGCTGTGAGTGGCACCCAGAGGACTCAGGGAGGGGGACAAGCAGCCCTGGACACCAGAGGGCAGCATAAAGACTGGACTTCCGAAGCTAGGAGTCAGGGTTAGTGTTAAGTGAGGTAGTCCGGTTCTGGGCCTTAGGTCTAACAGGTGCTCTTGAGATTTTAACTGTCCTTCTCCTCCCTCACTAGCTGTCCAGAACAGCCCAAAGGGTTGCCACCGGGACAAGAGGACCCAAATTGTCTACAATGATGACATCTACAAAGAGAACCTTGTGGATGACTTCTAGGAAGTGGAGCTGAATTTCTTGTGCCTCACATGCCCCCAATGCTGGTCTCAGTAAAACACTGAGGTGGAAGCGCCCTCAGCCTCTGGTTTTTCAGCACTTGGGTTGGGGAATAAGCCTTTAAAAACGGCTTCCAGATTTAATTTTAGTTGTAGCAACACAACTGGTGCACACTCACCACTCCTTTCCCCCAAAAGGATCTGAACACAGGTATTGTCGTAGCTGTTTTAATTATATCCCACATCTCTTTCCCACAAGAAACCTTTATAGAAAACCCAGGTCCTCATCTTTGAGTTTCTCTTTGAGCCAGGGCATCACTTGGAAGATGTTGATGTGAAAGTCTCGGGCATAACCAGGTGTCTGCTGTTGCTGGCTTCGCTGCCGGTTTGGGCAGACATCCACTACACCCCAGCTGATCACACCAACCTGAAGAGGGAAAGGGGATACCAGGGGTCATTTGGTAGCATTCCTTCCTAACCTTACTAAGTATGGCTACTCCTGAATGCATCTGAGCTGACCTAAAAATATTAGACTAGAAAAATAGTTTAGTCCTGTTCTCCCTTAAACAGAAACACACATGCACACACCTGACTTTGAAGCAGTCCAAGGATTGGTCATGTGGTGATCTAGACCCTACCTTTCATCCTCTACTAATCTCATGCATTGAACCTCCCTGTTTTGGAAGCCTGTGATGACCACTTGGTTACTCCCCATAGGCAGAAGAAAACTCACTTGAATGAAGCGACTCTTCTTGTGAATAATCAGAGGGCCACCAGAATCACCTGCAGAGAAAGAAAGGCTATAAGGACAGGGACTTTGTGCCTCGGGAATTTGCTCCACAACCAAAGAGCCTTCTCCCACCTTTGCAAGTGTTTGGGTCAGCATAGGGATCTACCCCTCCAGTGCAAAGGAACCTAGGAGTGACCACTTCAGAGACGTCCTCAACGTTGCTGTAACCTTTGGCCTTTAGAGCATCTTTCTCACAACTGGCTTTCTGTAGGTGAGATGGGAAAGATAAGAGACGAACTGACCTAGTCTTTGGAAGGATTGGCATCTAGAAGGCTTTCTCCTCACCTTTTCTCCATTCTTAATGTAGACCTCCTTCCGAACCAGCTGCTTCTTGTACCCATCCTCAGTTACAAACAGACCTTTGACATCCTTCGCAGGGAGCAACACTTCCTCTGGACAAGTGAACACTTTGGGTCACTCCATGCCCCCTCTCCTACCATTTCCTTATTTATCACAGTCCTTCCTTTGAGCTAGGGACTGACTAGGCCCCATGGCCTCCTACTGCAGCTTCTGCATGCCCCCTCATCTCAGGATCTCTACTCTGTGCCCCTGTCCCTGACCTTGACTTACTGTGTTGCTGGCAAGTGGCTGATAGAGGGAGCCTCAGAGCGCGAGTTGTTCCCTCAGTGCAGGGCAGGCAGATGGGTCTGTTAAGAAAGGATAGAGAGCTTTGGGGCTGCGGGCCCCACACTCTCATCCTCCAGTCGTGCCTTTCCCCAACCTTTTCTTCCAGTTGCTAGAATCCAATTGCTCTTACCTAAGAGTCTGGCTGTACTTCAGCTTTTTCTTAAGCTTTATCAGGGCCACATCATAGTCATAAAATTCAGGAATTCCTTCTGCTTTTTTTCCATTGATGTTGTAGTTGGGATGGAATAGAACAACATCTATCTCAAATTCCTGCTTCCTTCCTGCTGAGATAAGAAAAAAGTGGCTACCCCTAGACCACTCAGTTCTGTGTGGGCATTTGGCTTCTGGCCCCATCTCACCCAGACATAAAGTCTTCCCTATCCTGGATTGGCCTTCAGTCTAAGAAAGGGGCTTGTATTAAGGCTGAGTGGTACTCAGGCCATGTTTGCTACATCCCTTACCTGCATCCTTAGCCACGCTGACCTTGATGGAATGTGGCTCATCCTCCACAGTGAAGCAGTGTGCAGCTGTCAGTACAAAGTACTCAGACACTATAGCTCCCATACAAGTCTCAAGTCCCTTTCCAGGGCGCTGAAACAATAAAGACAGGAAGTTCAATTTCCCCAACCACCACTTGCTGATAAAAACCTTATGCATAGTGCTTTGCTTTACCCCATCTCCTGACCTCACCCTCCATTAGCCCCACACTAAGATGCTGTGCTTACAATGATTGAGATCTTAGCATGCCAAGGTTGCTTGTGGGAGTCCGTAGCTTCCTTGTGCTCCCAGACCATGCCACAGAGACCCAGAGACTGACTTTCATCTGGCAGAAAAGGAGAACATGCAGAAAGTGGTAACTCTTCATTCCTAAAGTGACTGCAGCCTTTGATTCTTCATTTTAGAAGGTTAAGAACTTGGACCTAAGAGATCAGAGGCGTAGCTGTTTCCAGCCTAATTCTGTTCCCAGTTTTGCTGTCTCATGGTCTCTCAGCCTCAATTTCCGGTTTGGTCAAATGAGCTTTAGAGAAACCACTGAAGTTGCCCAGAGCTCTGATTCAAAGATTAAGACGTGATAGAGAAAACTATACTGAGAGAATAAGGAAGGCCTTACAGACTATTAAGAGTCTCAAGGGCAAAAGAGAAATGAGTGGCTTCATGGGGACTGGAGAACACAGTTTCTTGATTATCTTAATGCCATTCTGGCATCTTCCTACCAATCATTTGGTAAAAAACATCCTCCAGGTGTTCCATATCCTTGACCTTGAACACATGCTGCTCTTTATCCTTCTTGGAAGCCAAAGCATTGATGTTTGCTTGGTCCACCAAGGGGCCAATCCCAAATACATAGACATCTGGAGGGAAAAGAGGAGCTTGAGAAAGAATGCCTGAGGAAAGGAGAGCGGGTGAGGATAAGACTGGGAGCAGTAGCTGAGGAAACAGAATGCTGCTTTTTGGCAAGGTCACTCACCCAGATAATCCTCCCTTGGGTTTTTGATGTTTGTACCAATGTTCAGTAAGGCCCGGATCTCATCAATGACTGAGACTGGGTTCCCGCCCATGTTATGCAGACCTGAAGGAGAGAGACTATGATGGTGGGAGATGAAGACTCAAGGGATATTAATCAGCTATAGGCAGTGTCGTGCATGGTGGCATCAGTTGGACAGAGGGTGAAGATGATAGAAGATGTTGAACAGAGGAAACTCTTAGAAAGGGTCACAGGAAACCCCAACAGCCAGCACTCAGGGACCCAAATACGCTACTAGCATAGAAACAAGCACGCTGGGATCCAAGAGTAGAATTGAGGGCAACAGAGAGGTCCTGTCTAACCGTCAGTCATGAGGATGATGACGTGGCGGGTTCGGTTCCACCCTGGAGGGGGAACATCCCCTGGAAAGCTCATCATATTAAACACTGCCTGGAGGGCCCTCTTGGTGTTGGTCCCTGCCTTCAGCTTGTGGTCTGTGGAGAAGAAAGAGGTCACCATCTCACTTGGTCTCCCTAGCCATTCTTGAACCTCAGAGGTCCATGAGCCCTGGGATCTCACATCTTTCAACTTTTTCAGCTTGTTACCACCCTACTGACTGCTCTTTGACCCGAAGTGGTCTCAAGTTCTGATGTATAGCTGGCAGCGAGTTACAGTGCTAACCAAAGGGGTCCTCTCCCTCTCTACCCCTAAGAGATTCTCACCAGTTCCCACTGGTCCCACTTAGAGTGCTCTTCCTTGTCGCCTTGCCTGAGCAAATTACCCATCCCTACCTTCCCTCAGGCTTCTGGCCCCAACGTGAACCTCCCACATTCTCTTCCTCAGTTTCTGACCTTTATAGCTGATTTTGTCGAGCTGCTCCTTGACCCACTCTGCATCACTGCTCTCTGGCTGTGACACTCTGATCAAAGTATTGGGGTATGTTGCGTATGTCACAAGACCGTATTTCGGCTTTACCCCATAGCTGGCCACCTGTGAGTGAGGGTAACAAGAGGTCATGATCGGCAGAAAGCAACTGCCCTGGTACAGGCAAGGTCATAGCAAGAGGTTAAAAGTCTGAAAACCAGTAAAAGGGAAGGAGGACAGAATAGAACCAGGTGGCTGAGGGAACAGGGTGTCTTCTGAAAAATCAGCCATTGAAAACCCTATAGAACCCCCCAGTTGTCCTCTGACACGTGAGGTCCCTGTAAGGCAGAGAAAATTGAGCACCAAACACTTACTGATTGATTACATGCGGGAGAGAAAGCTACCTTCTCAATAAGACTGCTGAGACATCTCTTGGCCCCTGAGAAGTTTTTGGCTCCAATGCTGTCAGAGCTATCCAACACCAGGTAGATGTTCATGGAGCCCGAGGGGTCTAACACAATCCTCCGCTTCTGTTGTTCTCCTAGGTGCCCCACAGAGAGTCAGGGTTAGCCTGCCCTGTTCTCCTGCCCTTTCTCCATCCTCTCCCATTCCCATCCTGGCCTTCAAACCTGGGCTGTGCCCATCCTCAGCATCAGCTCCTTCTATGGCCTCAGTGAGGGAAGACAGGAAAGCTTCGGCCACCTCTTCAGGAGAATCATACATGAAGGAGTCTGAGGAAAGATCAGAAAGCAGGTCAAATTCCTGAAAGAGTCCAGAGACAGGATGGTGGATTTCTAGGATGGGAAAGAATCCAAAGTGAGACATTTCTACAGAGTTTTGGAAGAAATAAGAAAGTAGTTGGTTTGACAGAGAGGTTGAAGATGGTGCCTTGGCATAGGGACATTAGAACAGGAGAATAGAATCTGGCCTGGGGACAAGGGCCAAGGGTCACCTTGGCAGGAAGGCTCAGTTCCACTCCAGGAGCCACCTTCCAGGCACTTGCGCTGCTGGGAGCCTCGCAAGACTAGCCCGCGGTTGCACTGGTAGGTGATGGTGTCTCCAAGTCGATACTGGCTGCCCACTTTTCTTGTGCCAATGGGAATGCCTGGGTTGGGGCAGTATCCCGCTGCAGAAATGCAAGACGTAGAGGTCAGGGCCAAAGATTGGGGTCTGGGGACTGAGTGTTTGGATGCTAGTTTCTTAGGCTGGAGAAGTATCAGGTAATGTGAGAAAAGGGAACCCTTCTCACCTCCATTGTCACAGATAGCTGTTTGTCCATCCCATCGTCCAGTCACTTGGCAGGTACGGTTGGCAGAGCCCCGAAGGGTATACCCATCATAGCATTGGAAAGAGAGTTCATCACTTAAGTTGTAATAGGGAGCCCGGGGCCAGAATGACCCGTTCTCGAAGTCCTGTGGTCTTGGGCAGCGAATTGCTTTGGAGAGGGAGGTAAATGGAAGTCACTGAGACAGAAAGACAGGCATCTTAATCTAGTCCCTGACAATGAAAAACAGAGCTTTCCCAACCCAGCAAGAGCAGCATCAATCCCCCTTAAACTCATGGGAGAGGGGAGAGGTTTAGCTGCTCCACCACCTCCATTTCTGTTGTTGTGTGCCATCAAGTCAAAACTGACCCTCCGGAGGGTTTTCAGAGGGAGTTAAGCACATGACAGGAGCTTGCCCATCTCTCTCCCCATTTTCTGAGTGATCCTTTAACTTGAGAGTTACCAGGTACAGAGTGAGTGAGTGCTTAGCAAATGTTTGCTTCTCTTCGTCCTCACCCCTTCTCACCAACCCTAGAATAGACCGACTTCTGCTCAACCCAACTTGTGAACCTACCTCGGTTCAACAAGATTCTATTCCCATCTAGACCCAGCCTTGGTCACTCAGCCCCATTCCTCCACCAGACCACCCCAACCCTCACGACCTCCAACCTCTGCACTCTGCTGTCTTGACAATCTTTTCCTCTCGCGTTTTCAGTGCACTCCAGGACCCTGAGGCTTTGCAGACTCTTAACTGCACAGGGTAAGGGTAGAAGCCAGAGGGACACAGGTACTCCAGCGCCTGGCCCTCCTGGAGGAGTTGGAAGGAGCCCCCTTTGATCTCTATCCCCTCCAGGGAGCAGGGGGTTTTGGGCTGGGCCTCAGGCAATGGGGTGGTGTGCACACCTGAAGAGAAAGTATTGTATGTAGCACCAAGAGGGCCAAACCAAGGCTGAGAATGGATGCTGGCGGTTGGGGGGAGTGACCCTCACTTACCTCCAGATAAGAGACCCAGGAACGAGATAACCAGGGAGAGTAGGGGGCTGAGATCCTGCCCCATGGTGATGGAAGGCAGGAGAGGAGTGTGCTGGGGCAAGGTGACCTATCCTGGCCTGGGCTACCTGGGTTTGTGCTAAAGATCTGTTTGCTTGGTATCCAAGCTGAAACTTCAGCCCTCGGTTTGGCCACTCTCCTTTCCCTGCCCCCAGCAGCCCCCATCCTTTTATGCAATATTCTTCTGGCACCTACAGTGTAATGCTGCCCGCCCCACCCACATCACTTTCCGGAATGTCCAAGCGGGAGGGCCCCTCTGAGCGCCCAGCCAAGGAAATAGAAACTGTACAAATCCCACCCTTTGCTGCCCAAACTCCAGACCTGACAGCCAACAACCCCCTTGCCCCTCCTTCCTCCCTCAACAAACCCAGACCACCTGCTGGGGGACGAGAAATAAGCCCACATCGTTCTGATTCTCTCTTCTGTGGACTGTGTGCACAGGGCAGAGTCCAAGGGCTGTTTATCCTGCAGAATCTCTGACCTGCTTCCCCAAAGTTCCTGGAACCATTCTGGCCTCCCTCTTTGCCCTCCTCCCAATACCAGGCAGAGAACACATGGATGTAGAAATCGTTGACTTTTATTCATTTCCTAAGTGGGAAATTCCATGTAAATGTGAAAGGGGAAGCAAATCCATTACAATGGAGAAGGGATTTTTTTTTTCTTTTGAGCTGACAGGGAGGGGAGATGAGGATCTACTGCAAAGTCCTGGCAAGAGCCTGGGGATTCCCCAGCTTGGCCAGGATCCTGAACACAGGATGCAGAGCTAAGAGTGAGGCAAATTTACTGTGTCTGGGATAAAAGGTCAAAGGTAGGGGAAAGTGGGGGATGGTGGCAGGTCTTGGCAGGACAGCCAAGGGGCTGGCCAAGTATTAGAGGGGTAAGAATTGCAGGACCCCCTGCAGGTGCTCCCTCAGCCATGGCTGCAGGCGGAAGAGATTGATGTGAAAGTCTCTTGGAGGTGGCACCCAATTAAGGGGGGCCTTTTTGCGAGTGTTTTTGTCAGAGTTATAACAGGGGTTGTAGAGACCCCAGCTCACCAGGCCCACCTGGAAGAAAGCGGGGTAGAGAGTAAGAGGCTACCCAGCCCCGGCTCCAAAATCCCTCAGAGCTCTTCCTCTTCCTCCACCAAGATCATGAACTTATAATCCCATCCCTTGAGCTCTTCTCTCTTACCTGAAAAAACCTGAATCTTCGCTCAAGGAACACTGCTCCCCCAGATTCTCCTGTCAGAAAGGAGGAAAAGGAGACAGTGTTACCCCCAATTCTCCCAACCCCACTCTCCATAGTAAGGGGATAGTGCAGAGAGGTGTCTGGGCAGAAACACAGGCTCCAGGGGCACAAGCATGGAGCGAGCGGAGGACGAACCTTTGCAGGGGTTGTCATCCTCCTTCATCCCGCTGCATAGGAACTGGTCTGTCACCACCTCTTTGATATCCGTCAGGTTGGGGAACATGGCTTTGTCTTGAGAGACAACCTGGATACAGCGTGTCCACTGCAGGAAGGGTGGAGCGGGAGAGAGGGATGGAATGAGCAGGCCCAGGACACATGGCAGGTGAGCTAGGGGTGGGCAGAAGCTGATCTAGCGCAGATGGAGACAGCAACCAGAGCTGGCAGAGGACGAGAGATGTCCCAAGAGCTGCCCCTGGGGAACTCACCCCACCGTGGTATCCTAGACTTGGGGCCCTCACCTCTGTCCCCATCTTGAGGTTAATATTCAATTTCTTCCCATTCAAGGCGACAAAATGTGCAGGAACGCTCTGTGTGTTCAGGAGTTCGTTCTCTGCAGCCAAGAAAAGAAATTGTTGGTGCTGGTGCCATGGTCAAGTTGAATCCCACTGGGGCCTTCCAGTCAGTCCCATGCCAGGTTGCCCCCCCTCTGCCCTAGTCCAGCTCAGCACGTCGCTCACCATGGTCCCGGCAGGTGCTGCCTTTGGGTCTTCGCAGAGCCAGATTGGCCTCCTCTGTGCAGGGAAGGCAGATGGGCCTGGGGAGAGGGGCAAGGGCCTCATAGATTGTTCTTGGTGCCCCTTCTCCCCAGTATCCCCGGAGCACTCTTCCCCACAGGATGCCCATCCACCAACTCCTGGCACCTGGCATGAGTGGACATCTTCACTCTCTGGGCCAACTTCAGCAGGGCAATGTCATCTCCATAGAACTCTTGGATCCCTTGGTCCTTCTTGGAATAGACATCAAACCCTGGGGAGATCACTGCCTTCTCAATACTGAACTCTTTGCCCCATAAGGAATTGGGGTCCCCTGGAACAACATGGCAGATCAGGTTAGACCTGGTGTCCTGAAGGGCAGGCACTGAGGAACATCAAGCTCCAAGGTCAGAATCTCAGCCTTACCCACAAAGACCCTCCACAGGGAGAGCTCCTCAGCATTGCGGAAGCAGTGAGCAGCCGTCAGGACCCACTGGTCTGAGATGAGAGCCCCTCGGCAGGTCTCCAGGCCCTTTGGCTGCAGAGAGACAGGCAGACTTTAGGCCACCCACAGCCATCATACTTTCAAGATCCCAATTATGCCTCTCCCTCTTGGTACCTTAATAGTGACATGCCAAGGTGTCCTCTCCTGGTCTGAGGCATTGGCTGACATGTTCCCTACCCCGCAGATGGTGTCTGTGAGCTGGGAAACATCTGTCAGTATAAGGAGCAGATGGAGAAGGTGGCAGGTGAAGGATCCTGTGTGTGGCCAGGTTCCCAGCCTGGGCCCCCAGCTGGCTGCCTCCCGCCCAGCTAGTTCCTGTCTGGCAGAGCTCACTCACCCAGCATGTGCTCAAAGACCTGGCGCAGAGCCTCTGCGTCCTGCAGGATGAAGGCATGCCGCTCCCCATCCTTCTTGGACCCCAGCTCGTTCAGTTCTTTCCAGTCCACATCTAGCTTGCCCACCCCAATAGCATAGATATCTGGTGGGGAAAAGGAAAAAAAGACACAGAATCCTATAACTGAGCAGTTACTTGTGAGCTGGGGGACGGGGGGACGGGAGGGGGGAGTGGAGGGTGCGGCAGAACCTGTTATTTGAAACTCACTGTTGTTCATAGGGTTGCTATGAGTCATACTCTACTTGCCAGCACTTAACAACAACACCATGTTCTACAAGGAAGCTCTGATGACCTAGTGGTAAGGAGTTGCTGTACTGCCAACTCAAAGGCACACAGTTCTGCTTTACAGAAGGAAGATGGGCAATCAACTCCCACGCAATTGACGGCCTCTGAAAACCTGCTGGAGGGTCAGTTGTGAGTCAGTTCTGACTTGACAACACGTAACAATAAAGTTGTACAAGGAAGCTCTGATGGCCTAGACACTTACACTACTACAAAGGCCTTTTTGGCATTTTCTATCTACCAGCAGTTCCATGAGAAAAAAATGGGCAATCTTCTCCCGTGCAAATAACTGCCTCTGAAAACCCACTGGAGGGTCAGCTTTGGGTTGGTTCCAACTCGACAGTACACAACAACAACAACAACAATCAAGCATGTTTAGGATTGGATCTGTTTACTGAAATACTTTAATTGATATTCTGTTAATTCCTGGAGGCTTGTTTTTTTCCCAAAGCCTTCGCTGCAGCTTGTACTTCTTCCTTCGATGCCATTGTTTGTCTTATGGCTGAAAATCGAAGAGTTTTTTTTGGTATGTTGATTATTTGTATTCCTTTTGTTTTCTGCTCATGTTTCCTGTGTCATTGAATATTTCAGCCCTACAACTCTTGAGTATTGTAACTTAAGGCTTAATTTTTTTCCCCCCTTCCCTTCTTTCAGCTTGAGAAATGCTAAGCATGCTCTTCCTTTTTGGATTTTTAACTCCAGATCTTTGCATATTTCATGGGAATACTTTGCTTTGTCTTCTGGAGCTGCCTTTTGACATTTCTGTTGAGCTCTCTTACTTCGTCATTCTTCCCTTCACATTAGCCTTTCTACACTAAAGGACTAGTTTCAGAGTCTCTTCTGACAAATATTTTGGTCTTTTCTTTCTCCACTGCATGTGTAATGGCCTCTTCATGGATGATTTCCTCCTACAACTCCTCTGGTCTTTTGGTCATTAGTGCATTAAGTTTACTCTGGAGATAGTTTTTCAATTCAAGGGGGATAAAGCCAAGGTCATATTTTCGATTTTTCAGATTTGTGCTAATATTCTCCAACTTTAATTTGAACTTGCAAACTAGAAATTGATGATTTCACAATCAACCTCTGGCCTTGTTCTGGCTGGAGATATTGAGACTTCCCACCTCTTCTTTCCACAGATATAGAGAATTGGGTTCCAATGTGTTCCATTAGATGAAGTCCATGTGTATAGTAGCCATTTTAGTACTATACAAAATTCTGTTATGATATTTGCAGCCTCATTTCTGTCATCAAGGCCTGTTTTCCAACTGTCAATCCTTCCTTTTTGTTTCCAACTTTTGCATTCAGATCATTAATTATTATTAATACATCTTTATTGCATATTTGATTCATTTCAAACTGCAGATGGTGGTGGTGGTTCTTTCTTGTGCAGAGGCCATGCTAATTTTCTCTGCAGCGTTCCAACTTTAGTATATATTCTGCCAAAGCGAGCACTGGCTGTTGTTCTTGAGTATCGTACAGTCATAACTGATCCTCTGGCAGGTTTTCAGAGGCAGTTAATCGCACCAGAGATTGCCCACCCTCCCATGGAGCAGCTGGGGGCCTCGAACTGCGTGCCTTGGGGATTGCAGTGGAGCTTCTTGCCACTAGGCAAGTAGGTATTCTCAATTTCTTCATTTTTGGCCTTTGTATTTGGTGCATCTATCTCCAGGGTTTCTGTAAACATAGCATGATGGCAAGACTTCAGACGTGGTCATCCTCTGTAAAACATAGCGTCTGGAAGAACGTTCTTTCTGCTGGAGAGCCTGGGTCCACACAATCATCCATGCCCAGTCCCTACATGCTGTCAGAACTTTCCTCAGGTGGCCCACAGCGTCCGCTTTCCTCCCACCATTTTGCCCTCAGAAGACCCTGCGTTGTGTGTAAAGAACTAGGTGTTTAAAGGACTGTAAGCAAAGCAATTTGACCAAAGCCAGGGACAGAAACAACTACAATAAAAGCCAGACAATTATTGTGCCTGGATTGTTTGTTTGTTTATTTTGGTTTGCTTTTAATTATTTTTTTGTTTCCTACATATCTTCCTTTCATTGTTTTTGTTCAGACATTCCTCTAGGTCATATAGCCCTGGTGTACAAGTTGCCATCCCGCAGTCACTTGTGGTTGCTGTGAGGCTGAACACTGTGACACAGATGTGTCAAATGCATTAATGGTTGGCTGAGGTGGATTGATTCAGTCACTGGGATAATCGGGATGGGAGTGTCAGAGACATTGCGATTGGCACAGGACAGAGCAGGTCGCTATGAGTCGCAAGCGACTCGACGGCACATAACAACAACAACACGCAATGCGGACAGAGAGTGGGGTGGAGCTCCCAGATTAAAACAAGCGTGGAAGGAGGAGTGGCATCCACTTCTGTAATAGCTTGCCTCCGGAAACCCTATGAACCTGGAGAGAGGATGAAAGGCACCCAAGCGTCGAAGACTCTCCTTCATAGGGTCACTATGAGTCACCTGTGACTCGACAGCACTTAACAACAACAACAACAACATATCTGTATGTATATGTTTAAATGGTAATAGATACATAAGAAAGCATTTTCCATTTCAACAATCTTCACAGGTATGTTGTTAAATGCCATCGAATCAGTTGTGATGCATAACAACCGTATGAACAACAGCTCTGAACCTGCTCTATTTTGAGCCAATCTCATTGTCTCTGGCACACCTACCCTCATTACCCCAGTCACTGTGTCAATCCATCTCATCCAGGGTCTTCCTCTCCTGCACTATCCCTCCACTCTCCCAAGCAGGATGTCCCTCTCAAATATGTCCAAAATATGTCAGACGGAGCTTTAAATCCTTGCCTCCAAGGAGAAGCCTTGTTTCACCCTCTCCAGGACAAACCTGTTTGTTCTTCTAGCAGTCCATGGTGTATTCAATGTTGTTAGATGCTATCAGTTAGAGTATGATGTATAGCAACCTTATGATCAACAGATCTGAACCCAGTTCTGTCCAGATCCTGTGCCATCCTCAGAGTCTTTGACATACTTGAGCCCATTGCTACAGTCACTGTTATCAATCCACCTGGTTAAGTGTCTTCTTCTCTTTCCCTGTTCCTCTACCTTTCCAAGCCTGATGTCACTCTCCAAGGAATAACCTCTCCTAGCAACAT